GAAAGTCTCTTGATACATGCTCTTTAGCAGAATGTTAGAAAGAATTTTGTTTTTTGAGAAACCTAGTAATAAATCCTTAAGAAAACTTGGGGATATATACATGTATATAATAATTATATACAACTGCCCAGTTACATGGTATCTTTACAGGTAAAATATTCAGTAAATGTATGGCACATACAGGTCAATAACTCTTTACAATCTTACCTATATGGTTGTGAATCAATGACAATTACAATATCCAAATTGAAACAAATCTCTTCTCTGATTTGGTCACTTTTTCGCGTCATTAAATGTTAAATGAACAATTATTTTTCTGCGCTTTCAAGTTGTACAGCTATATTAACTAAATTTTTCTATATCCCCTCTTGTGTATTGACCTAAGCACCTACAAGTATATAACTGCCAGATTAATCAATAACCGCAAATGGTCAACAACATTCTATATATACATAAAAATAGGAAGAAAAAGTTTTACCTTTATCTCAGGATCCAACGATCAGTGGCCAAATGAACAATGGCCTACATCGCCATTGTAAACAGTATGGAATTTAATTGAAATGTCATGAATTTTAAAGACAGATATATACCTATCCATCTAGATCACTGAATCTAGCCTAGAGGTTGTAAAACTAGTCTCAATTAAGATGGAAAATTAATCTTGCCGACTGGCGAGTTCAAATTCCTAACATTTCTCCGTAACATTTAAGTATAGTCGTTACCAGTTACAAGTATGTCGAAAATTGATAATTCATTCCGAGCATGCTGAAATTCATTTAAGATGTTCTTTCTTGAAATAGATTTTTCTTCCACTTTATTTTTTCACTCCCTTTCATCAAGAAATTTCAAAAGGTTGAATTTTATCAAGTTTTCAACAGACTGGAACCAGAATAAAATGATCAAACCATCTGCTTACCTGGATGAAACCATTCTTGATGATTCCTATTCTAATATTAGTGTGGAATATTGTATCTGTTTAAGCCAGTCCTTAGGGCAATGAGTGTCCCATTCTTTAATTCTCAAAGAAACTAGTCTTCTATTTTTACCTATTTTACTTTTGCTATCATTCCCCTCAAAGGATCACCCCTTTTTTCAGATTTTTACAAATGCCATTTTTCATTTTTTTTTCTTATTATATAATTTATCCTTTCTATTACATGTCCTTTCATTTTGAGCTGAACTAATCTGCCTCATTAAATTAATTTTTGACTAATCTAACCAACACCTTTTTCATCAAGATTTTTCCTCATTTAAGACCAACCCATTCATTATAGTTTTAGGTTCAGTTCTAAGAATTTGTTTAGACTGATATCTACCACCTTGCTGTTTTGGTCATTTTAAATTTGTTCTATGAATTTTGTCACAATTGCCATTTTTAGTACCGATTAATGCACTTCTGTTTTGATAAACCAATTTTTAATAACTATTTATCAAAAGTGTTACAAATATAGCTTTTAAACATCTGCAGATACAGCAAATAGTTTTCAAGGGTCTTAAAAAACAATCTATATATTATAAAACGCATTTTTTAATGTAAACTTGCTCATAATCTCCAGTTAAGACATATACTGCTTTAGACCAAAATGAAAAATCCCCAAATGAATCATTAGGAAATTCAAAATTGATCTATATAATCAATTTATCAAAGTAAAAACTTCCCCTTACGAATATTTCTTTAGGTCTTGAAAATTTTTTGTCCAATATTTCAATCAAGTGACATGCAACTGCATGCTGTGCTTGATTTTTTCTGAAAACAATATTCAGGAAGTTATTGACTTAACCAGGGTGTGGTGTTTACCTTTCAATATTAACGACACACTTGATGAAAAGTAATACCTATAGTGAAGTAACAGGGATTTAGAGAAAAAATTTGACAATATAAAAATAATGTTCGCACTTAAACGATTACATTTTCCCCCCTCTCCAATGTTAATAAAATGCAGACAGACACAAAAATTACAACTGTCCATAATACATCAAAGTGTTAAATTTCTGGGGTTTTTGTGAATATTTGAATGAGAGGACACCTTCCTGTAATTAGTCTATCTATTTATGTGACAAGTATCAAATCAGACAAATGACGTGTCATCCGTAACATTTTTTTCTTTAAGAGAAATTACGTGTATTTGCTTTTTTGAATCATCAGTGAAATTCTGTTATTATGTTTTAAAGTGTAATTCTTAATAACTACTATTTCCATAGCAACTTTTTTGTATCATGATCAATTTTCAAACTGGTAACATCCTGCAAAAAATGTTAAGAAAAGACGGAATCTGCACATATAATTACTGTATAGAAATAACAAATATGGTTTAATAACAAGCTGGTATTTTTCTATCATCTTTATAAAGACAAGCTATCCCATATCTTTTCAAATTGTCAAATTTACGTAAAATATTCAAAAGTCAAATTTTACAACATAAATTGTAATAGGTTGTTAAGCATTAAAGGAAAAAAAAACACGTGAATATTTTTTTTCTATAGACGAGACAAGACTAGATATTGCTATAATACGAAATATATTTGTGGCGTTTGTAGGGAAATTTAAGCTGGCTCAGCGAAACTTAAATCTCTGTCAGGGTCAATCTTACAATGTTACTCATCTCCTGTACAACACTGTACGGAGATAACCTGAATTCATGAATGAAAACTATATAAATTAGATTACACCAAGATTTATTTAAAAGTAGGTCAACCACTTCGGTACTTGAAAAGTTTACATAATATTTTAAACATTGTTTACGAAGCCTCGCTTTATTTGATCATAATTTATACAGATTTACTAACTTAAATAAAAACTCTAAATACGGTGAGTTTTTGTTCAACACTGAATTGGTATTAACCATATAAATCTAAAATCATGGACATCCGTTCAAATGAAATTTCTCTTTACTTTAAAACTTGCAAGTGCAACACCACAATAATAATTTGAAAATAAGATTCCTAAATAAACTGGAAATGTGTCCATAGGACTCATAATTATGCCTCTATATTCTACTGTCAGTCTACAGTGTGGTCAACTGAGAAGTGGAAAACCTCCCACTATATTGCATCTTTGTTTTGTACAACAGGCACTTGTCCTGCTTTGAAATTATAGCTGACCAATCTGTAAGGGATATGATTTCACAGAGCTCAAAGTAAAGTAGCCAACAGTAAGAATACATCAAAGTGCAGACTATCGTAGATCTTAACCAAAAACACTCCCATATAATATTTAGCATGGTAAGGGCTAAAAAATTTAAATTGTTGGAAAACCTGTCAAAGAGCAACTTCCTTTCTGTCGGTTTGATATATGTGGGTATATTTCTATTTATAACCCGTACAGATTTTGCACTAAATGCTTCAATAGTAAATTTACATTAATTTATTCTCTAAACATCTTCTTTCTGAAAGAATAGATCTATTCTGATGACAGTAATTAATTCATCATTGGAAAACAACATGTCTAACTAATATCACCAACCATTCATTATCACTCTCCAAAATGTCATAAATATTATTAGCACCCTTCAATTGAACAGTTACATTAAACTAAGTGATAAATTTCTGTTTCATTTGCATAATATTGTCTTTAATTAACAGCTGTTACTTTCATAACCAAAATGAAAATATGAAAAGCTTGCTCCAAAATTTCAAGAAGGCACTTTTAAATCTTAAACTGCTGGAACCAAAAGTGAATCTTTGCCATTAGTATAGAGCCAGGCCAGCCTGCACATCTGACAAGACTATATAGTATACTGTGGGTATCTCAATTTTCGTATTTCAATATTGAAATCCCTTAAACTTTAGACAAACTGTTCTAAATTTAAAGCTGGGTAAAGCCATTACACAACTTCAGCTGGTTTAGTGTCAAAAGTACACCTTTATCTGGCTTAAAATTGTTGTTACTTTTGTTTTTTGTTTTATGTTTAATGTGGCGCCAACACAATATAGGTCATATGGTGACTGTCCAGCTTTACTGGTGGAGGAAGACCCCAGGTGCACGTCAGTACATAATTTTAGGCACAACTGGGCATCAGAGTAGAACCAGTGTCGAGTGATATTCCTTACCTAGCTGGATAGCTTCCTTACATGAAGAATCCAAAGATGCTGGCCTAAAGGACAACTGATCTTTCAATACTATTCTGTAACTGGACTCACATGACCATTTCTTAGAAAACCATTTTTAGATCTATAAACATAAATCTACTGGGATATTACAATAGATAATGATATAAACACTTTAAATACACAATATATCAAATTATATCACTTGTTTTAATTAAATTATAAATGAGAATAAATTCGTCACAAATTATGAAATTAAGTTACGCACTGTTTGAACTGAAATATTTCTGTCAGGAATTCATTGTTTATATCTGTAGCTCTCACCTTTATATAATGAAGTAAGACGATAACAATGTTGTGGAGGCTCAAAGTGCTTAATTTACATATAAGTTCAGGTTTTAGAATCAGCAACAGTCTTTCGATCCCGAAGTTCAGGTGAAATTGCGGTTATCCCCCATAATTTTATTACCGTATAAATCATAATATTGTGACAATTGATCATCTTCAGTTTCATTGAAATTCAGGTCATTTAGTGCTTCGTATCTAAAAAGAATGCCTTTAGGTGTAATAACTGATTTTCTTATGATTTTCTGACGTAGTTTCTTTGAAATAAAAAATAAAAATAGCAAAATAATAGGTCAGGCATTAATGTTGTTACATTAATCTATAATTAAGTCATATATGGTGACAGACACCAATTAAATAAAAAAAACAACTATTTTTGTATCGAAAAAACAACAACAACAAACCAACAACTATCAAGAATGAAGGTCAGAATATCTGTAAATAGTACTTCAATATGGTATTGCTTAATTGAAAGCAGAATATTTTAAATTGGCCTTCAAATTGCCACTTGTTTATAACGGTAAACACTTTGTATGACATATGGACATTATAATTACCGACAAATAATTGACTCTATACATATAAATGTGACAATGTAATGAGTTTACCTTATGGTATATCAGTGGTATTTGTATAATCTATGACCACCATTGATAATGATCTAACAGAAATGATTCGTCCCTCGAGGCCTCGTCCATCAATGTTTCGATCTTGTCGCCACAGTCTATAATACAAGTAATTATAACATAGAACACATGCAAAATATTACATGCAATAGTTTCTTACACAGTGTTAAAAATTTCTGTTAACGTATACTCAAGATTAATGGTACTGTCCAGTAAAGAAGGGATTGGGTTGCAAATATTTTGCAATCTTGTGGTTTTGTCCCCAGGCACTATTTATCATCTAAGTTTTATTTGCAACAGTTTTTGTATATAAAATTGTAATATTCTTATCTTATTTGAAAATAAATAAACCTCTTAAATATTAACAAAAAACTTCCATCCTCTGTTATGTAAATATTAAAACCAAACTCCTCTTTTTTACATCAAGTCAGTACCATATCATTTACTGAACCTAACAGACTTGAGATCATAATAAAAACTATTTTAGACCTAAAATGAAGTTGTCAAAAAAAAAAAGTTATCTAAGAGAGACAACTCTTGCAAGTTCAAACAGAGTAAAATGTATCAAAGCTAATAGGAAGAGAAAATATAATTTCTGCAAATGACAAATTCTCCTGCAACTCTGTCACTACAACATAAAAATAACTTTTCATGTAAGTAAAGTTGCACCTTGATTAATTTTCTCAATCTTTCATCTTTTATTACAAAGAAAGCTCTTTTGCTTCATGTATAATAACATAATTATTTATTAAGTGCAAGGAAGTTTTAGAACTTGTACCTAAGGAATTGAATGTAATTAAGTTAGACTAGAAACAAGAGAGCCATGGTAACCCCTTATTGCTCACAAGTACATGTACATTCACCTCATTAGGTAACTTTATTATAAAGAAGTAGGAAAATCTATTTTAGTCATGGTAACCTTGACTGCAGTTTAAATTCTTGCATATCAATTATATACCTTTGATACAGCTCAATAAATAAAAGCAGTGATTATAAAAAGGGAGACTAAGTGAGCTCTAGGACATAAGGTGCTGGCCGCACAATGAGCAATACTTATAACAAATTGGCGATATCAGTGCCAGGTGAGCTAAAAAGTTTGGAGCATCACTGTTATATTCACTAGATATAATCAATGCTGTTAGTTTCATGTCAGGAAATCTTATCAATCATAAAAGCAGGAAGTTCTCCCATACGTCAGTAAATCTTCTTTAATTTGTCGACAGTTTTACGCTCTTTCTTTTCCTTTTTTGCTGCAGTAAAAATCCAATTTATGAAGGATTGTTACTTATTATTCAATTCCGTACGACATGCTGACATCTACAATTGTAACAACTTGTGAAGTAAAATTTGTCTTCTATGGAGTTATTGGGCCACCGGATTCGTAACCGTCTCTTTTTGACGATTGACAGATGAAATTTATGTCTCAAGTGGTCTTGTGGCTTTCAGACAGATTCTAAAGATGACGGTCTTACTTCTAAATAGCTATTATTAACATAATAAAATATTTCGGAACTTGAAAACGGAATCATTCATTGCTCAAGTGCGTTGTTTGTTTAACAATATTTACAGATTGTTTAACATGTAATTGCAGTTACTAAATACATTAGTTAAAGATCAATGTTAATTGAATTAATGTAAGCCAAAAGTTAGCACAACTATTGCGGTCCCGCCCCTTATTTGTTCCCCCCTCAAATTGCATGTTTTGTTCATGTTTTTGCCACATGTCGTCTGCTTTTAGAGTTGAGTGCTCATTATTATTTCTAGCCTTGCACTTATTTCATGACAAATATTCCTGACAGTTCGAAAGCTGCTTGAATTTATATTAAAAAATAATAGAGGAGAAAAAACATATCAAAGTTAGACAGTTGTAACAATGAAGAAGGAATGGCCTACATTTTGCGCATGTTAAACTATTCATGATCATATCCTCTTGATTTTGCTACTCAAAAAAGAAAGAAATCATCTCAAAAATGAAAATTTAGGTTAGTGGGTTTTAAAATATATGACCTAAATTGTAACACGGAAATGTTCTAAATTCCAGATACAGTCAATCAAAAATGTTTTCTATGTTTGGAAATAGCTCTTATCCTGTTATATTTGTGTGAAGGACTATAAGTATAGTTAGTATGACTTTATACTGGTTGAACAAGTCTTTTGTTATTGCTATACTGGCTTTACACTGGTTTTATTATGGCTCACTAATGGTTGCTTAGTCTTTCATCAATTTATACTGGCTTTAAATATCTTCTTATTTATCAACAGTCGTTTTACACTGCTTACTAGTCTTATACTTATACTGGTTTTGTAGTCTTTATTTCATTATCACCAGTCTGGCATTATACTGGTTATGCAGTCTTTATTTCATTATCACCAGCCTGGCTTTATATCACCAGTCTGGCATTATACTGGTTAAGTAGTCTTTATTTCATTATCACCAGCCTGACTTTATACTGGTTACGCAGTCTTTATTTCATTACCACCAGCCTGGCTTTATACTGGTTATGTAGTCTTTATTTCATTATCACCAGCCTGACTTTATACTGGTTATGCAGTCTTTATTTCATTATCACCAGCCTGACTTTATACTGGTTATGTAGTCTTTATTTCATTATTGTCAGACTAGCTTGATGGTCTCTTGGTTTAAAAGTGGAAGAAAATGCTTAAGAAATGCACCTATATCTACACCTAACAGTTTATTTCCATAAAGAGACATTAAATCTCTCCCTGGTTTTACTAACGGATTACAATTTTTCATAAGTTATTTTAGTGCAATTATAACATAAATGAAAATACACCCAGATGAAATTTCAGCATATCTCCCATAATTCATAGCTATAATTACTTCTGTCAAAAAAATGACTGCTTAATTTTCTTATATTATGATGAAAATTCAATTTGCATGCCCTTCACCCCTAATAAAAGTAATGTGTTAAATTGGCGACAAGTCAATTGTGAATTAGGGGCAAAAAAAATAGATGGATGTTAAAAAGCTATAATGTCTTAACTCACTAAACTTTATAGAACATGTTACATCAAAATTGTACAGCATTCTTGCTGCAGACAGAGGAAGAACTTAAAATTAAGAAAATTAGAGAGATTCGTTATAACAAGATACGGTACCATCATGTGACATCTAAAAGCGAAAACGACCCCAACAACCTTAAGGCGATCTTTTCAGTAAAAGTGAAAGAGTAGAGGAAAGTGGGAGGGAGATGTTTATGGAGGGTTTCTGACAGTGCACAGTAATAGTTTAATAAATCTGAAAAGCAATTTAGGATAATGCTGTGTTTAATTGTTGAAAATTAAAGATGAATGCCAGTAACAATCTTACGATTATTCCATAACCTTCTGAAAATCTTGTTCAGCTTCCATTTTTGGAACTGTCCATTATCATTTTTAGGGATAATAATCAAGATGTTGGTCAGCCATCAGCATAGAACCTGGTCAGACTTTGTGCGTGCTTGTCTGACTGTATACTGGTGGCAAAAGCTGATCACTTTCAGTTCCAACATGGCATGGGGGTAAGGGATTATGTCTTTTGCTCCAATTATTTCAATATCTACCCAGAATGAAATTGATATCAAAATATGTCATAATTCACATATTTGAGCCAAATTTTAAATTCAGCATTAATTACACTATCATTACAGAGAACAAATTTATTCAAATTAATATTTTCGTACTCCACCATTAGATAGGCAGAAAACAATGCAACAATATGCTGACATGTTTACTTATTAAGTGCAATACAATATAAAGAGTGCATCAGAAAACACCTTAAAATGTCACTAGATTTAATTTACAAGAAATAAACCTGTCTACCCTATCAACTCAAATCATGTAGGAGAAAAAAGCTGTACAGTTACTTCATTAAATATTGAGATATGTCATTATAAATCTATATCTCAACAACCACTCCCTCTATTGAATTATTTAGATTACTAAACTTTTTTCCTATCATTATCTTTTCAACAGTTAATAAATTTATTTCAAGTACTGATTCTTTTTGTAACAACTGAATTATTTAGGTTACAAAAGTAGAAATACAAAAAAAACTGATATAGACATATGTAATCCATCATTTTAAAGTGTTCAATATGTTTTAATTTATTTCTATTGAAAATTCTGCACGAGATTAACAATATTAGACGTGTCATAGAAATTCAAGAGTGTCCACTTTCTTAACGCTTTGTTACAAAATAACATGATAATTTATAAAGCATTGATTACACTATAAACAAGAAATTTCCTAATGAAAAAAAATGTACTTATATAAATTTAAATATTTTAAAGGTTAAAATCGAACACATTTTTTGCCTTGTTTGAATATACTTAAGTAAATTTTCCACAGAAGAAAACATTACCTAGACTGGTCAAACTGTGGTCATGTAAAAAATATCTTCAACCTTCAAGTGTGCTTTGACTGTTCTGTCCATACCTACAGATAAAAATAATCATCTATATAGTCAAATAAAAACAAAAAATGTTAGCATATCTTCTTTTTCACTTTCTCAATTGGAATCAAAATAGATTTTTAACATGTTCATCTCTAACTGTCAATTAACATACAAAGGGTGTGCTTAAAATACAGGTAAATTATTTCAATTTTATCAATTTTCTCTGGTTCTTTTTTTTTTTCTTCATCAAACATAAAATATAGAAATATTGGCAGCATCTATAATAACATAAGTCCCCGGCGAGATTCGAACCCACAGCGGTGAGGGGCCACTAGTTTGAAGTAAACGACCTAAACCTCTCGGCCACAGACAAAACTAAACATCAGCCTGTTCAAATGCAGAATTTTCTTCTATTGCAAGAGTATAAAATAATTATGTTTACAAATACCAGATTTAGAGAGAAGTTGATACATGAATCAAAAGACCCAAATTTCATAAAATAACTAGAACTGCCACTATCATGGCGTGAATACCCCCGCATACCACTTTGTCAGAATCAACAGTGGCCATTTAGAGCTCAAGGACAACCTCCCTGCCAAATCTGAGGTTACTAAGCCAGTGCATTGCTAAGTTATGTATTCTACATGCTTCAAATGTGAAAATGTCAAAATCAATACATTGAAGACAGGACATTCTTTAACAGTTAAGAAGAAAAGCTTTTTTGTCAAGGTCCCTGTGACCTTGACCTTTGACCCAGTGACCTCAAAATCAATAGGGGTCACCTTAAAGTCATGATCAACATCCATGCCAAATATGAAGACTGTGGGTCATAAATGGGTGGACAAACTTTTTGAAGTCAAAGTCCCTGTGACCTTGACCTTTGACCTGGTGATCTCAAAATCAATAGGGGTCATCTACTTATCATGACTAACCTCCATTCCAAATATGAAGACTGTGGGTCAAAGGAATCTTAAGTTATTGGGCGGACAAGCTTTTTGAAGTCAAGGCCCCTGTGACCTTGACCTTTGACCTGGTGACCTCAAAATCAGTAGGGGTCATCTACTTATCATGACTAACCTCCATTCCAAATATGAAGACTGTGGGTCAAAGGAATCTTAAGTTATTGGGCGGACAAGCTTTTTGGAGTCAAGGCCCCTGTGACCTTGACCTTTGACCTCAAAATCAATAAGGGTCATCTACTAATCATGACTAACCTCCATGCCAAATATGAAGACAGTGGGTCATAGGAATCTTAAGTTATTGGGAGGACAAGGTTTTTGAAGTCAAGGCCCCTGTGACCTTGACCTTTGACCTGGTGACCTCAAAATCAATAGGGGTCATCTACTAATCATGACTAACCACCATGCCAAATATGAAGACAGTGGGTCATAGGAATCTTAAGTTATTGGGCGGACAAGGTTTTTGAAGTCAAGGCCCCTGTGACCTTGACCTTTGACCTGGTGACCTCAAAATCAATAGGGGTCATCTACTAATCATGACTAACCACCATGCCAAATATGAAGACAGTGGGTCATAGGAATCTTAAGTAAATGGGCGGACAAGGTTTTTGAAGTCAAGGCCCCTGTGACCTTGACCTTTGACCTGGTGACCTCAAAATCAATAGGCGTCATCTACTAATCATGAGTAACCACCATGCCAAATATGAAGGCTGTGGGTCATAGGAATCTTAAGTTATTTGGCGGACAAGAAAAAACCGACGGACGGCCGGACGCCGGACGGCCGGACGGACAAGCTGATTCCAGTATACCCCCCTTACAACTTTGTTGTGCGGGGGTATAAAAATTGGTTTTTCAAATTACAATTTCTACCATAGTAGACTAAATACCAGTAATGTGGGTTTGTATTAAACAGGTTACAGAGTACAAACAAACTTAGGGAGAAAATGTACGACTCCATGTAGGTCAAAAGATCGTAATAATAATTTCACATTTCTTAAATTTCTGGAATTAGATTTCATCATAAATTCAATGCAGGATTAAATTAACAGTGCGTCTACATGCCTTTCAAACTGTGCAGAAAAAGTTTACAGTCTGCCACAAAACAATAAATCCCTGCGGTTGTACACAATACTTTTCAAAAGATAGAAATGAAAATTAATGTTTGCATATGAGACATGACAGTGTTCTAGCGTGGGGATCCGTTTTGTATGTAATATAAGACGTGGCTCGAAGAATGCTTGCACTGAACATACCCCGAGGTTAAATACGTAACATATCAGTTATATACATTATCAGAAGATCAAGATCACAACAATATAAAATTAATATAATAAAAAGATTGATATCTAACAATGACCTTTAAATGATCCAAAATAAGAGGGAGTAACAAAACAGAAAGAATGTTGTGAGATTTTTATGCAATTTGCAAAATTTGCAGGAAAAATTTCAAGATGAAAATCATGCACTTGTTTTAAAAATTCTGAACTTTTAAAAAACAATTGAACAGAGATGCTCTTATTCATGCTACCTTGATATTATACCAATAACTTTAAAAGTTCAATCTTGAAAAGGGAGGTAACTAATGATTTAAAGTCCTAATGAAAGGGAGGAAACTTGCATACACTGGGAGGTATCCTGTAAACTACAGTTTTAGCCAAGGGAGGTAACATAAAGTTTAAAGCAAAGAGAGGTAATGCAAATATAGATAACCCTATATACTGATGTAAACAGCCAATAATTTATTTTTTGTTGAATCTTGTCTTGACAAAAAATATTTATCAAGGTCACAAAAATTATCTTTTGCTTAATTACCGCAGGGAAGGTGATCACATGACTTTTGTTCACAGTAACGCCATTGATGGCAGGACCAATGATTTTAAGGGTATTTGGTCATGTTTTTGATATTTCTGTTAATGTTCGATTCCTTTATATACATATCAGGAAAATGATTTCCAATTCCAGCTATACATAACTTTCTGATGTTGCTCTTGTACTTTTCCAGGTATAGTTGTGGTGTTATAAGTTTACACTCTTGATCACAGCAGTAAGCCACTTTGAAGTTACCAGAGCACAGCAAAGCCAATGCATCGTTCCTGTATATGAGCAACCTGTCAAGCAGTTTACTAGTACTAGAGAAGAACTGATAACATCTGTACATGCAAGAGCAGACGTACAGTGGTACAGTACGTTTGACTGTAGAAAAGATTTTATGATCAATTGCTATGACAGTGACCTGCGAAGTCCGGAAATCAAAACCCCTGGGTCATCTGATTTACAGTGCCATGCTCTTCCAAGTAAGATAATTGGACAGCAACTTTCAAAGTATGCTACACCAATTTTTATGTTATTTGTGGCACAATGTTGTCACATATTTGCACCTAAATATACAGCAGGGACACAATGTTACCTAAACAAATGTCACAAAATCACCCGCTCTGGATGACTGTTTTTCACTTTTTTCTAAAAACTGCTTGAATTTCAAATCTAAAAATCAAAACCAAGTACAATGTATAATGAGAAGAAAACTTGTTCAAATATAATATATATCATATATAATGGAATATTCTTCACAACTGACTTTACATAGTCACAAAAAAGTCACAAAAGTTTAATCTAACCTCAGCAGCTAATTATTTCCTTCTTTGTCAAAGATTTTTTTTGCACAGACAAAATCCATCCATCTTTTTATAGTAAATAAAGTGTCATTTAAAAAAAATAAAATAGGTATAATGAACAAATTGCAAAAATGTTTCTATCAACATGTCAATGTGAACTGTCATACTTTTCTCCACTGAAAAATTACAATGCCACATCTAAATATAGAATTAGTTAGAAATCTAAATATAGAATTGGCTAGAAATATATATATCTCTTTCATTAGCTGTCAGACATAAAAATTGACCTAGAATCGGTAAATGCTGATAAAACTGGTTACATAAAAATTTGTGAACTTAATGCATCTAATGGGGAAATAATAATTTGACCTTCATTATTAAGTTGAATTCATTTTTTTAATAAACAAGGGAAATTTGAGAAATATGTCAATTTCTTATAAACAAGGGAAATTTAAGAAAATGTAAAACTTAATGAAAACTTCAATAAAGAAGGGAAAGTTGAGACAATGTAAAACTTTATGTTGAAAACCTTTCTTAAAACTGGTTCAATTAGACAAGACCAAGACTTTAATTATCCTTCTTCATTTTTTTCTTTTTTTTTAAATTTAAATTTGACTTTAAACAGGATTTAAAACTTTTTATAATACTACACATTTTCATTGGATAATCATGAAGTTTATATAACTATATACATGACTGCTGTCAAGTTACTGAGTCATTTCATTTTTTTTCTCTAAAAAAAGGAAGTCTGCAGTTAAAAAGGTTCTCAACATAATATATGGCCATATTTAAATGGTTATTTGCAATATATCTTCAAACAACTGAATATCTAGGGCCATTCAACCTGTCAAAAATCTTTATAATATTACATTTATTGCTCTATTCTACATAAAGGTGTGTAAACTTGACTGCATTCATGAATTTTCTTGCTCAGATATTTCACTAATGATAAAGCAGGGGAAGCAACTATGTATTACATATTTTTCCATAATTTCCTGGATTTATTCCCCTTATAATACCTAAAAAAAATTCTCTCATCTATATTCTTTGGCTTTTTTTGTACTCTTAGCATAGTAAAGTAAGATGATAATTGAGTGATAATTTTTTTGTTAGAACTTGTGCTATTTACCTAATAGAAACATGATGTGTAATAACAACATATACATTGACTTTGACCAACCACTAACCTAACAAATTAGACAATACATCTCTCTCCAACATAGCTTTGAATATACTGCCAATTGCTAAGAGCTGATATCAACAAAATTTGATAACAAACTGTCATAATAAATCTCAAATCTAAATATATATTTATACAACTCTGCTGTGTAAATTTCTTATTGGACAATTATATACATGTACATGAAGTAGAATAAAACGAAAATTATAACATTCACAGCATTTTAGGTTAATTTAAGAGCTTGCCTTCAATTACTCAAGTTAAGGGAGAGTTAGCCTGGTGGTTAAGGGACCATCTTTAACCCAGGGATCAAGGGTTTAAGCCCTTCTTGTGTCTCAACCATGTTTCCATATTTGACACTGGTCCGAGGTTATAAAGAAAATCTCATAGTTCAAACTCAGATCTCTGGCATTTGATTGGTCAGAAATTCCCAAAGAATGTACAAAGACCATTGAAAATCATGAGATTTGAGACAGAACTCAAACCTTGAGGCCAGTACTGGTTAGTTCCAGGAAGTGGACTTGAGAGTGGTTAAGATAAGCTATACACTTTCTTCACAATCCCTCTATAATTATATATGTTTAAACTAATTTACTAAAGTTGACCTTATTAAAACTTATAACTCAAGGGATTAAAAGAATTTAAGGCTAATTACACTCCAAGAAGTTAATTACTGCCACTGTTTTCTTAAGTCATTTATCCTGAAGCAACTAAGTAAAGAGATATAAAGTTATTGAGCCCATGAAAGGTCGACATGTTTTTATAAAATGTTCTTGCTTTGCAATAAAGGAACTTGAAGATAAACAATGTGCTTGCTTTTGTCTAAAAATCAATGTGATTGCTTTTGTCTGAAAAATAATGTGATTGCTTTTGCCTATATTCATGCAACAATGGAATATGTGGATCTTCAAATGTACTTCATTTGACCTAAGATAGTGCATAAAGAGTATCTGTGGCTCCACTTATATGCTTGCTGTTTCCTGAAGTAATGCATTTACGTAACAGAATCTAAAGATCCATACGTAATGTATTATAAAGGAATTTCTTGTCTTCATCCGCAAATAAAGTTTAAAACTGCAATGCAGTTAAACAAACGTGTTTGATTATGGCTGAACCTAAGCAGTGGATTTAAGCACCTAAAACTGTGCCTACACTACCTGAAAGGTGTGTTCACTTAGTACATGGGATACAATGCTTCATAATTTTGGGAATAAAACAATACCTCTTTCATCTGCCTTGGCTTTACTATCTTGTCAATATGTAATCTCAAGACCATTCTCAATATCTAATGTTGTGTGTACAGACAAAGGTAATATTTATGATGACACAAAATTTCACAGCTGTCTCTCTGTTAAAATTCCTTCATTACATTCACCATACTTTTCTTGATGGAATTCTAGCACCTTCTATAATGTTAGTCTGAAAATAGAAAAAAAGTGCCATAAAATATCTGATCTTTTTTCAATATTTTGCAAAAATTATTTTTAGTATCCTTTTTCTATCGTAATTATAATTCTTGTGACATGATGAAAAAAAAGAAAAAAGAAAAAAAGATTTTCCTCTCAGATTTCTGGTGTGGCTTACTCCCACATGTTATATATTTAAAGTGTATTTTAAGAAATGCCACTCTCAACATGCATGTATTTATAGCATAATTACTCTACCATAAATCTTAACCATTTAATGCTTAATATCACACTGTGTGCCTATATTTTGCCTGACAGAAATCGCCATGACTTTCATACACATGTCAATCTAATATCATCTCTTCTTATAGCCTTTACTGTAATTTATTCTCGTTATTCCCCCATACTGAAGTTATGTTCGCAACATTATGGTATGTTTCCAAAACTGAAGAATGCTCCCTACACTAAGGTGTGGACATATTGTTCCCCCAACTTGTATGTTGGGATTATCATATGACAATCATATATCCCCACAATGTTTGGTTATTTTACCAAGGATTTGAAAATCAAAATGACAAGAGTCCCAGGTTCAGCAACCCATGAATGGGGGCCATAGTTTCAACTGACTGGTGTAAAACTGAGGAATATTCCTAATATGCCTTTCTGTGATAAAATTCTACAATTGTGGTATTTAACTATATTAGAAATGGCATATTTCACCCTGACACTATAGACCAATGACTCCAGTAATGTTTCTATAATGACAAACATAATTATGTATATAGTACAAAAAGTTTACTGAAAAATTAGTATATTAAGGGATGACAAATGAATTTGTTAAACACACACACAAGATGCAGATTATGGAGAAATCCAGTCAGACAGCACTTAGTAGTTTTTGGTATATCGACATTCAGACCTTTGCCATAGTAGCAGACTGTTTCATTCCTTTGACAAGGGTGTCAGACAAACCAATTGAAGAAGTGAAAATGTCAAAAGGTAATTGAAAATATTCTCTATTATTTACAGCAGTTAACTTGAATAAATGTACATTCACTCTTTCATTAATGAAAGAATAAAGCATTATTTCAAAATATCAGTGCCACTAAAAGAGTAGGCAGGACTTTCATTATTTGCTCACTAATGCATAATTATAAATAAAACCACTTTTCGTTCAAAAAAAAGAAAGATCTGTTTCAGTTTATATGTAAATTTTTTGACACACTAATTACCTGTTCGACACAAGCTGTGCTTAAAACTAGACCAACTAGAATAAAAGTCATCAAAAAAAATTAATCCAGATTTCATCGCAAAACCACTGTAAACTGTTCCTTGGTTACAATCAGATACAACGTTATTTCATACAACAAATTTAAATCAGACTGTATGACAAACAAGCAGTGTCAGACAAAACTAATTAACTTAATGTTTACCTTGCTGAATATAACAGACTAAACCTGCTCTTATTTTAGAACAGTCCATAAATAGTTCAAGGGATTTCAGTTTCTCAAATAATATAGCCTCTGCTCAGACCTAACTGGGTGGTGCACTCCCATCTGAAATGACCTTATTATGACTGCTTAAAATGCTTTATATTAAATCGGTTAAGACCTCAATTTCCAATTTGTTCTGCTCTAAATACCTGACAAGTCACCTGGTTAAATAATGTGGAACAATACGACATACGAGCTGGCTTTCACATTTTCAGCTGAGTTTTTTAGTTTATTTCATGTTTCATTGAATTGAAATAATATATTTGAAGACACACCTTCTGTACAGTGTAGGTAGAAAGTCACACATGTATTATATAACAATAGTGACATCTCGCCTTTTCAAAGTACAAATGTACATTGAAAACAGAACTGACAACAAGGTGACAATGACGAAATATTGCATATGAGCTATGACATCTAAAATTTCTAAGTCATAGAACTGAGTTATTGTTTGTGGTTGGGATTACCATCACACCAACACTGTAATGATCATATGGCGACTTTACTGGTGTAGGAAGACTTCAGGAGGAATCCAAAGCCAATGCCTGGATTCGAGATAAAATAGAAGGGCCATAACTCTACAATGAATTAGGACACCAGATAGAAAAAAAAATGTGCAAAGGATTCCAAAGTGCAGGTCCTTCTGTTTAAAAAGTCCTGTCATTGAAATCAAAATAAAGATTACAAAAGCTGTCTAGAAATGCAAATGGTGCCAAACTTATGAATGGATGTTACAGTTTATTTCATTATTATATACCTTTATTTCAGTTCAGGTGCATATAACTTCCATAATTTACACACACATATTATATCAACTATATGGAAGCAGCTGTTACCAAGTCTAATAATTGTTAAACTTAACCATCATATACATAAAATGCTACAAGGTGACATTCCTGTACTAAGTTATAATATCACCAGTCAGTTCATCCCTTTATCATGTTTTCTTCGTTATTGTAACAATTTACCTTCACCCTGCTATGTTCTTGAATAAAGGACTTTCCTTGGGTCAATTGTTTGTTGAAGTGAAGGATTTTGGTACAAATCCATTGTTTACCTGAAGGATTTTTGTACCAATCCATTGGGTGGACAAGCTTTTTGAGGTCAAGGCCCCTGTGACCTTGACCTTTGACCCAGTGACCTCAAAATCAATAGGAATCATCTACTATTCAGACTGTGGGTCAAAGGAATCTTAAGTTATTGGGCGGACAAGCTTTTTGAAGTCAAGGCCCCTGTGACCTTGACCTTTGACCCAGTGACCTCAAAATCAATAGGGATCATCAACTATTCATGACCAATCTAAATACCAAATATGAAGACTGTGGGTCAAAGGAATCTTAAGTTATTGGGCGGACAAGTAAAAACCGACGGACAGGGCGACGGCTGGACGGACAAGCTGATTCCAGTATAGCCCCCTTACAACTTCGTTGTGCGGGGATATAAAAATCTCAAAGGTTCAGTTTAGTTAAAATACAGTTAATTTACCTGGAACTACAGACACTAGGTTTGCATATACATTGACAGTGAAGCTTACATACTATTAAAATATTTAACAAAATTAACTGAACTGTATTCCTGTTGATCCTTTAACACAACACAAGCTAACCCTAATTCCTTAGTGTTTTTTTTACTTAAATTAGATGCATGGCTAAACCCTTTACAACTTTTGCCATACATTATTATTATATTAGGCTCAACAAATTAAACCTTAACACTGTGATTTTTACACTAAACAAATTAAGCCTAAATCATTTCTAATTTTTACATTATTAAGCCTAAATCCTTCTAAACAAATCACATCTAATTTTCTGCCCAATTTTTACACAATACAGGTTGAGCTTAAACCACTTACAACATTTACACTAAACAAGTTATGTATAAATCCTTCAATGTATTTCAGGAAACCAAGCAAATAAAAAAAGTCTGAAAATGTCCAATATTATATATGTCACAGATAACGAGTTATTTCACAACAGCCTTGACAGATTCACTCAAAAAAGAAACAAAACAAAATTGATTTCTGAGCAAGTTATGAAAAATTACAAATTTGGTATTCTATGATAAAACCAGATAAAAATCAAACTTCATCCATTGATTGCCAGATATGATGAAACATTAATCCAATTTGTGACATCATGTTTCCCCCTCAAAAGCCATTTACATGACATATACACTAAGTGGAGTATGTGTGTGTTTTTTCTTTCAATTATGAAATAGATATAATAATAGCCTAGCATGAGATGTTATCACAATGATTATTATACATGATTTCATGCTGTAATTGTTGTATTTATGATATCTATATTAAATTCCTAGAAATATATGTATGCTTTCTATCAAGTATCTTTTATAGATATGAATTGTTATTTCACAGCTGCTTGCATGGTGATAAAGTTATCACAATTGGGAAGAATGTGTCACAATTTGCCCGACAGTAAGAAATTGTCACAAATGTCGGATGGAAAGAAATTGTCACAACTGCATAATCGGAAGAAATTGCCACCAACTGTGTGCAAGGAAGAAATTGTCACTAGTGCCTGAAAGGTAGAAATTGCTACAGCCTGCATGCGGAAGGGGAGGGGGATAAATTATAAATTGTCACAATCATCCAAGAGGAAGAAATTGTCATAAATTGTTGAAACTGAGAGGAACAAATTGTCACACTAACTGCCAGATAGTAAGAAAGGATGGAAGAAATGGCAACTATATGTGAGAACAAAACTGTCACAATTGCTTGTAGAGAAAAGTTGTCAAAAGGGAAACAAACGTTAGTGGAAAAACTTTACATTAATGAGCAGATAACACATGGACCCAGATCAGACTGCATGATTGTATACCCTGGTCATTCTCTCTTGATATTGGTGGCATCTACAAAGTCATTATTTCTGCCAGTCGTCAAAGGATTTAAAATACACAGTGATTTGTCAACTAAGTGCATGACTATTGCACACTGCTTCCATAATATTGGTATAAATAGCTTTTCGGAGCCATGTTATAGATTGTACAGTCAAACGTGTATTTAGCGACCGGGCAAGGGAAACACCCAAAACAGTCGCTTAAAGAAATGGTCTCTTATGACAAAGCATGATAAAAAAGTCAAAATTTATAAATGACATCTTTCTTTTGTGGTGGGAATGTTTTTCAACTTCATTTATAAATGTTTAATAATTAGAATGCTCCGATAATCTAAATGGATGCTAATGTAAAATAAACTTTCTGATATTTTGACAAAACAGTTTTTTTATTTCCATTATGTACACGTTTGACATTTTTCCAGAATTTTTAAACTTCTCCATTGTTTTTCTTTGTCTCCAACACAAAAACCCTTATAAGTGAAGATGTTTTCTGTTGTGCATTTTTTCATTTAAAATAAACAAACTACATCTAATTGTAACAATTACTTTAATCCCTGATGAAGTTCAAGGTCAATTCAATGCAGTCTAAATATCAACAAGCGAAACATATACACCATCTCAGTAGGGGCGGAGCATTGCATTGTTGAATCAATAGTATTGGATAATACATGTCACCCGTATACTTAACTTCATTTGCATACGCTAAAACGGTTTGGGAAAGAGAGCTCTTCAAACATTTTTTATGTTGTGTTTTGATTGTTGACACTTGTGACATAACGAGGCGGCGTTCCCTAAAATCACAATTACTTGACAGGTAAAAGTGGTCCTTTGATGAAAAGATTGATCTCAATTAGCTGACTAATAAGCGGTTGCTGGTCGCGTTGAGCAAAAGTCGCTTAAAACATTAAAGATATAGAGAGAGAGGGGGGAATTTAAAGTGGTCGCATAAGACAGAAGTCGCTTAATACATGTGGTCGCATGGGCAAGTTAGACTGTATTCCGTCTAATGCAGCAATTTACAATTAACCATTATGAAAAGTTTTCATGACAAGCCAGTGCAACAATGTAAGTCGGCTTGATGAAAGTGGGAGGCACGGTGTACTGGTTAATCCCATATTGCCAACTGTTGCCTGCAATGTAGCTTAAATGCAATTGAATGTTTATATAGTTGTATGAACAGAAAATGTGTAATGACATTTTTAATTTACTTCAATTCATATAAAAAAGCTTACTACATTGATCACTGCATTTTGTTGAATTTGCACAAAAAACAACAGATTGCTGTTACACTATAACCTACTTAAGCAGGAACAGAGGTAAAGTCTGACGAGTTATCAATAAAATCTGTCACCCGTTCCAGGGAGGGGGAAAAACACACATTTAACAATTTTCTTGGAACTAACATATTTAGTACTTAAGATCCTTTAGAAAGTAACATTTAAATGAATGGCTGCTATCTGAAGTAAGTTTTAAAACTGGTCAAGGTTTATTAGGTCAAAAAATTAATCCCATGCAACATTTTCCTTTCATTTAGCGAAATTGGTTTCCTTTCAGAATGCCAAAAACAGAAAATTGAAAATATTGCAGACATAGTCAGTGCCTGTTAATGAACAGTACTGTGGTTCCACTACTGTGGTTAGTGCAAGCTTTTGTCCATGTCTCTTAGCCTAAGCAGTGTAAAACCTGTATCTTTGAACATTCATCATACTGACTGTGTCAGCTTTTTAACCCATTTACCAGTCAGCTCAAAAAGCATCTAGTGTAATTATTTTCTTGGCCTTAATTGCCAATGAGATTATGTAATATATACTGCATGTACATTGCAAGAGCTTCTTTTGCTGTAACAGAAATAACATGTGATCAATGATTGGAAAATGTTGCAGTAGAGATATAGAGGGGGTATTCCCCACCACTGCCAGGTGGTATCACTTAGCTTAAACTTGACACCTAACCTGTCTTGCACCTGTGTTTGGGTATTGTCTATACAGCCTACCTATATGTAAAGTAAATTCAGAGAAAACTCCTTGCATTGAATAGAAACAAAAACAGTTTGTGCTGAAGATTATACAAGAATATACAAAAACTTTTTAGGATGAGCTTTAAATTTCAAAATGACTTTTGAAAAAGCTGAGCTGAGCTAACACTTGGAACTGCAACCCCTTAGAAAACGATTTACCCATTATCAGCAGTACAAAGTCATGTTTTCCACCAGAGTGACCGTACAGTTGGTTTAATACTCATCTTTATTATCTACATAGTGAAAAGACAAATTGAAAGCAAGATCAGTTCATTAGCTAACTGAAAATAACAGTTGATTAATAAATAATTTTTTTATTTTTTAAGTCTTAATTTTTTTTTTTTAAATCAGTAATACCATGGTATTATACAAACACTATTCCACATGAGGAATGCATATCTTTTCTTTTTTTCAAGGAGGGAATCAATAAATGTAAACATAAAACTGACATGTTTTAAAAATATATCACTTTAAAGGTTCTGCAGATATAAACATTATATTCAATTTGGGTAATTTTTATCTCAATATCAAATCTACAAACTCATCACTTCAACTAACTTAAAAAGTCCCAATATTCAAAACTTCAAAAGTGAAAGTAACAATTTTCAAAAATGATACAGTGAAACCGAAAGTAAAGTTTAGAAGGAAAACATGTCAAAACACAATAAAATCTCATAAGAAGCGAAAATATCAGAATACCTTGTTATGGAGTGAATTTACTATTCTACTACATAAATCCTATTTTCATGCTATGATTTCATAGCAACACAATTCATTGATATGATTTCATACTAAGTAACATTATTTATTGGCTATGATCATTTCGTGCAGAATTCCCTCCAGGGAAAACACTGTAAATAAATCCTGAAAATTATGATTCATCTTTCCTTTATTGAACTCAATGATAATTTTGTTCTAGTTTGCTTTATTTACACGTTGCCTCCGTTGTAGAAACAATAGAAAAAGGCCAGAGCAATAAACAGAAAGGTGTCCACAGATTTTATGTACTAGCTCTACAGCCGCCAGTATTATTAACATATTCTGCAATTCCAAAAATAGACAATTATTACATCAAACCGTCTATAGGTTATGGGAAAGTATTGACCATGTTTGATAGAGAATCATACAAGGAGCTTAGGCTTCAACAAGACAGGGCTTAAGTGGTGTATATACATTAATGACACATTTTATCCCAGTTTGACTGCACTCTTTTATTGCCTAAATATAAAACACATTGACATAGTTATGATATTCTCTTAATGTTGGTCAATTTGGTGTCCAGAACAACTAAATATTGTCACTTTCTGGAATTAGAACACGCTGAAACGAATCCTCATTGACATATATCATTCTAGGGTTATAACAAATACGTCTCAAGTATCATAAGGCCTGGAATTATTCTGCATCTTTTTTCTCTATTTTATGAAACTTGTAACACCAGTAAGTTGTGTTATATTTGTGGAGATCAAGAGACAACAGGTTGGCATACGCCACTTAGTACCTTGAATGCCAAATTGATACTTCATGCTCAAATAGACATGCCAGGGTCTTTTTTCCCCCAATTTCTTCCGAAGCCAAAACAATGACAAATTTAAATTTTACCTTGAAAACCTAACTTAAATGAAGACAGTCTGTTCAATGAGCAGTTTACCAGATTGTAAATTGTCACCAGTTTCCTATCTGAAGTTTGACCTTGAAATCCCTGTAATAAATAATGGACAGTTCCAAGTTCAATGATTTAGGTAAAGTCAATTATACAAACAAGTGGGTAGAATGCTAAAATCAATTTAACACTCATGTTATCTATTTTGTATTTGAAAATAAAAACAATCTTTAGAAGAAAAATAATGTCAAAGTCCAGACAATACAAAGTAAGACATTAAATTTAATTCATAATGGCAACCATTCCTTTCTATTATTATATATTCTAGAAAATCTATGAATAAACCATTAGCTTCTCCTCTGCCATTTTTTTCAAATTCAATTTAACTGCCCCACCCACATAGCATTTAATTGCTAGAAAATATGTAACTGTTTTTTCAAAACACCCTGAATATTTCATACTGAAAAACAGCAACAACTTGAAAAATAACAACCATCTTTTTTTAAAAAGTAACAAAGTCATGACAAACTCTGACAATACATTGTAGAACACATTTCATCGTAAAGGCAACCATTTTAGCTTTTGTGAAATCTATTATTTAATGAATATGAGTATCTGCTGTATCTTTCAAGTTCAATTTAACTGCCCCACCCACAATCCTTATTAGCATTTAATTAGCATTTTATAGCTATAAAACTTCTTTCACATTTAAAGCAGCATTCATGCTTCCAGGTTTATTTTGAATTTTTTTTCCCCAAAATTATTTTTAATTTGTATTAATGATTAAAAACTTTGTCAATAGTTCAAATCATGTGATTTAATCCTTAATTTGCTGAATTTCTTGAACTTGTCCAGATCTATTTATGGAACAGTCCATTATCAATTTGGGGATATCAAGATGAAAATATTAAATCTATAAGACAATAGTATACAGTTTATAGGCTAACCTCTTTCGGTTGCATCATGATAGCAAGTCAAGCTTGCCCAAGTCCCAACCATCCACATAAAAAACTAGCTTAACATGCCTCTTACTAAACAGAATAACCATGGACCCGTTACTTACCCAGCATAGTAATATGTTGTAGTAAAAAAGTAAATACTGCCACATTTAGTTCAAAACTAGCAAGAGTTTATTTATTAAGAAAATCAATGAATTCCTAAAACTGCACGTTTATTTTTCCTTAAGTTTTATCAATGAATTAAACTGTGAACGTATTTTGTATTTTCCGAAAGACTTTACTGTGTTAAAAATATATTTAACCTTTCTGGTGCTACTTTAAATTATTAAACACCATGAAACTGAACTTTACTCCATTAATGAGATATATACAATATACATGTATACACTCCAACAAAAAGTCACATACCTTTGACGCTATGCCATTTCTGCACATTAAGTAAAGTCTATTAAGGTATAAAACTTTCATACTTGCCATCAAATATACATCAAATATACATTCCTTTAAATCTAAAACTTACCACTAGTCCAATCCTGAACCAGTATTGAACCAATACACAACATTTTTCTCCTCGATTTAATTAAATTAATCAATGAACTAGCTTATTCACATACAAAACTGGAGAGTTTTCATTGATAACACTTTTTTTTTTATACCAACCTGCCTTAAGTAACATTCCTGAGCCAGATATTTAGGTCACAAATCCATTGATGTATAAATAGACAAGGTAGAAAATAGGTGACCCATACAACTGGTATAGTCCTGATTAAATAGACGTGGGAGAGTTAGCAGTAATGTATTAAACTGCATGGAAAAGAAAATTTAAAACCTAAAAACAAGTTTAACAATAATTTGAATATCTGACATTTTTTCCAGTTTGTGTTGTTAGTATCAAGACTATAACAAAGCTTCATTAGATTTAACAAAAGAGAAAACCAATCTGTTCAACTCATGGTACAGAATTTAAGCATGGAGAAAAGGTTATCTTTTAACATAGAATATGAGTGAAACCTATAGTACTGTTTAGAGTAGTATCTTATTTTCATAATTTATCTAATAATTTCACTACAATCTGAGTAATTATTCAAATCTACACAGCCTGATTTCAGCTAACTTGATTATTTTGTCAAATTTAACAAAACATCATATTGCCTTAATCCATAGATCCACCACAAATTTCTTTATATTGCCAACATCCACCTCCAATTTCATCATTTTGCCTAAATCCACCTCCAATTTCATCATTTTGCCTAAATCCACCTCCAATTTCATCATATTGCCTAAATCCACCTCCAATTTCATCATATTGACTAAATCCACCTCCAATTTCATCATATTCCCTATACATCATATTTCCTAAATCCACCTCCATATTTCCTACATTAACAGGGACACAGATAACATCTATATCTCTAACATCAACAACCAATTCATCATATTACCTTAAATCACCTCCAATTTCATCATATTACCTTAATTCATCTCTTATTTTATCATATTGCCTTTATTCAACAAGATACACCTCATTCATTTAATTGCCTAAAATCAATTAAATCTCATTTAATGGAGAATCAACTTTATTTTTTCATTTATAAACCATCTTACGAATTAAATTGTCCAAAGTAAGATTCAGGGGCCATAAAGCCAATGCAAGATGGGATTAGGATGCTATGGCATGGATGTAGATCCATTGTTGATTTTAGTTCTGAGAATAAATGAAAATGCTACTGTGCAGAAAAGTTGACACGCACAAACTCAACCAAGCATAATCAACAGACAGTCACAAAAACCCATCCACAAACAAGTTGATTGAGTGAATACACCCAAGCACAGACAACAACTGTCACAGACACAGTTGCTTACTATGCACAGACAACAAACTCACATCCACAAACAAGTTGACACATGCACTCACACATGGACAGGCAAGAGACATTCACAAAAGTACATCCACAAACAAGTGGATGCAAGCACTAACCAAGGAAAGGCAACAGACTGTCATGAAAAGACATCCACAAAGATGCTGAGCACACAATTGCCCAAGCATAGGCAACAGATGTTCACTAAAGTTCATGACACAGACACAAAGACGACCAGAAGTAATAAAACCACATCCACATACAAGTTGACTAGCACAGACGACTAGAAGTCATGAAACCACATCCACATACAAGTTGACTAGCACAGACAACCAGAAATCATGAAACCACATCCACATACAAGTTGACTTACACAGACAACCAGAAGTCATGAAACCACATCCACGTTGACTTACACACACAGACAACCAGAAGTTATGAAACCACGTCCACATACAAGTTGACACACACACAGACAACCAGAAGTAATGAAACCATATCCACATACAAGTTGACACACACTGACGACCAGAAGTCATGAAACCACATCCACATACAAGTTGACTAGCACAGACGACTAGAAGTCATGAAACCACATCCACATACAAGTTGACACACACTCATCAACACACAGACAACAGATGTTCACTAAAGTTCAGTCACAACAAGTTGACACACACACAGCCACCAGAAGTCATGAAACCACTTCCACATACAAGTTGACTCACACAGACAACCAGAAGTCATGAAACCACTTCTAACATACAAGTTGACTCACACAGACAACCAGAAGTCATGAAACCACTTCCACATACAAGTTGACTAGCACAGACGACCAAAGTCATGAAACCACATCCACATACAAGTTGAACTAGCACAGACGACCAGAAGTTATGAAACCACATCCACATACAAGTTGACTCACACAGACAACCAGAAGTCATGAAACCACATCCACATACAAGTTGACTAGCACTGACAACCAGAAGTCATGAAACCACATCCACATACAAGTTGACTAGCACAGACGACTAGAAGTCATGAATCCACATACATGTTGACACACACTCATCATCAACACACAGACAACAGATGTTCACTAAAGTTCAGTCACAACAAGTTGACACACACAGACAACTAGAAGTCATGAAACCACTTCCACATACAAGTTGACTCACACAGACAACCAGAAGTCATGAAACCACTTCCACATACAAGTTGACTCACACAGACAACCAGAAGTCATGAAACCACATCCACATACAAGTTGACTTACACAGACGACCAGAAGTCATGAAACCACATCCACATACAAGTTGACTCACACAGACGACCAGAAGTCATGAAACCACATCCACATACAAGTTGACTCACACACAGACAACCAGAAGTCATGAAACCACATCCACATACAAGTTGACTCAAACAGACGACCAGGAGTCATGAAACCACTTCCACATACAGGTTGACTTACACAGACGACCAGAAGTCATGAAACCACATCCACATACAAGTTGACTAACACACAGACAACAGAAGTTATAAAAGCTCATCCACAAGGTGAACTAAGAAAAGGTCAATAACTTCATGTGAGTATTAACTCCAGATACCTTCATTTGTATGCTTCAAGGTACTGCTGTTATTAATGATTTTCATTAACTATAAAATGATGCACTGACAGGAGCTGTACAAAAGTGAATGTCATCTTGTGAAACAATGAATTAAGTTAATTAACAACCATCAGACAAGCAACTCAGAGTGTAGAACATCTGTTTTTACTTGTTTTACTAGCGTAAAATAAAATCGCTTAAAACACAGACTGAGGGTGATAGCAGTACATATAACCTTGTATTGTCAATTTTATAATTAAAATTTGAAGGGAACGGTAATTGATTTTCGTTTCTTGGATCAGTCTACTTCCCTGCCTATGGGTTTTTTTGTGTGTCAATTTGTGTCACAGAATTAGCCTTCTTTAAATTTAGAATGGTCCGTCAAGCTTTCTGAAAATAGTTTATCTGAAATGATAGCATCTATCTCATTGATACTGGCATAACCTGACAATGTCAAGTAGTAGAAGTGATACAGAATGTTGACACTGGCAGCATGAAGTTCTGACATGGAGTACTGAACCTTTCTCTGTAAGTCCATTTGGTTGCTTTATCCTCGCCACCTGAATGAACCATATGAGCCGGCAACCTTTCCAATAATAGATCATCCTTTTATATTTCGAAAAAGCAGTTTGAAAACTGTTATCAATATATTTTTGTCACACCCCTTCTTGTAGAAAAAGGAGAAGTCCTTTTATTGCAACATTCATTTTTCACACTAGAGTTAAAAGAAGTTTATGAACAATTTATTAAGAATGTAACCAGGCTGTAAATAATAGGCTGTCAGGCCATGACAGGCCTTTCACAGGTCAAACAATTTTTGTCATCATTATTTCGTGTGGGCAGTTGGTAAATGAATAAATATGTTGATATGTAAACAGATCTACAGTTTATGACTGGAGCTAGATACTTAAGTTTATTGTATTTTAACCACGTTTTTTTATTGAAACAGCGAAAGGTTCAAGATTATAAAATCCAATTTAGAAACTCAATTTATTTCATGATAAGGAGAGGCACTTTTAATCGCTGTTTTTGTCAATATAACTATTTTAAGACCCAATGGGAATTAAAAATGAATTTACAAATACATTGAATCAGTGTACTATCTTGCTTAAAGGCCCACCAAGACTATTTTTCAATACAGGCAAACTTAACTGTACATATTTTTAAAAAATTTCTATAAATAGACCCCACTTATTTTCAAGAGAACACAGTTTGAGAGTTTCAACAGAACACATAGAAGTGCTAAAAATTTTGCTATAATAAAAATTTTAAAGACACTGTCAAAAATACACATGATAAAGTGTTGGGTGAGGAGAATCTTCCGTTGCTGAATAGTTAATGTTGCATTCTTTGAATTACTTCCCCTTTGGCACTTCTGGTCTGAATACACTACTTTGAACATTGAATCATAATGAAAACTTGTGGGTTAACTTAAAGAAGTTGATAATTTATCTGACATACTGTGTTTATCAGAGGTCTGCCATTAGAATATATAGGTAAATTTTGATAGAACAAGTTGCAACAAAAGAAAAATGTGCAATTTTTTGAAAAGATATTGGAAAATATTGGAAGTATTATCTGAGCAACAAGGAAGGGTTTTTAAAAATCCATCCCGGCATCTTCCTGGCACAACTGGCACCTTCTATTACTTGAATATATCTAGATAGTCTGTATATAAGACATTATTTCTTGCTGGAACTGGCAGTGACTAGCCTTGCCACTGGTATAAAGCCAGGCCAGTACTCTCTGACCAGGTGTTATTACTGCCACTGGTATAAAGCCAGGCCAGTACTCTCTGACCAGGTGTTATTACTGCCACTGGTATAAAGCCAGGCCAGTACTCTCTGACCAGGTGTTATTACTGCCACTGGTATAAAGCCAGGCCAGTACTCTCTGACCAGGTGTTATTACTGCCACTGGTATAAAGCCAGGCCAGTACTCTCTGACCAGGCCAGTACTCTCTGACCAGGTGCTATTACTGCCACTGGTATAAAGCCAGGCCAGTACTCTCTGACCAGGTGCTATTACTGCCACTGGTATAAAGCCAGGCCAGTACTCTCTGACCAGGTGCTATTACTGCCATTTTTTTTTATGTTGAAATCCTTTTATTTTCAAATGGACTGTTCCACATGAATCCAATACACAAATTTAGCAGGCTAAAGGGTTAAAAGTTAGTGTCATACATGACAATGTAAAAATTCTCATATCTCTTGTATAAAAAGATGTGATATAACATAAATATACATGTACAAATAAAAATCTTACCTCACTCTGTGAGCTATGTACACCTGGAGTATGCACCAATACACTATATTTACACTCATCTCCTGGAATGCACTACCTACAAATACAACAATAGTGTTGATAGACTCATTCCTATAGTGTACAAAAAAAGAAACATTTTATGTTTGCTCAAGTATACATACCTAAGTAAATTGTTCTTAATTCTTTGCAAGCATTTCTGGTGACTTATTACATCATTACATAAATGAATGAGCTATATACTCACAGCAGTATTCTGATCAGGTTAGGTAGAAAAGACAATACCTGTGATAATTATACCTACAATGTGATGTAATAAAGTGTTATGAAATAAGTGTTTCACTTGTCCTCTTTAGAATAAACTTATAAACTCAGTATGATGATTATACAGTATGATATATATAAATACAGTAAGATAATACAGTATGATAATACAATACAAACTTAAAATCCTCACAAATATATTTATCAATTGTTTTTCAGTCTATTTTTATGACTTCTGGGGTTTTACATAATATTTTCTTATCTTGATTGGCACCATACAGTCGATAACTGTAACCACAGGTCCTCCCATCCCTGGAGAATAATAGGGACTTTTGACTGGACTTTTAAAACCCTGGCTGAGGCCACGCCCTAATAGGACCATCTGATAGTCACATCTCTGCTTTAAGGTTCCCACACTGTGAGTTAGATATATTCCCAGGCATTTTGGCGCAGGAATAAACGACAGCTAACCACTATGAAGGTAAAAACATTGTTAATTTAACCCTAACATTCTCAGCTCTTCTCCAGCCGCGTGAGAAGGCCAATGTGACAGTTGACTTGTACATAACCATTAGCAGACTAAGAAAATAGAAATTCACTCTATGATGAACATACACTAGATGGAACCATCACTAGACAGCATTGTCATATTTTACCAAGAAAAATATATCACACTTGTTAAATAAGTAACCATTATTTTGAATTACCAATTAGATAGAACCATCACTAGACTACATTGTCCAGTTTCAAAATTAAGATGGAACCATCACTAAACAACATTGTTATATTTCACCAATTAGATGGAACCATCACACACTGATAAATGTACATGTACATATCACACTACATAATTAATAAACCATATCTTGTTTAACTGTGTTATAAAAACCAATCATTATTTAATTTATCAAATCAAACAAGACAATCAATTAATCATCACTAAACTACACCAAGAAAAAAACAGACCATCACCAGATTTAAAACTAAATCAGAGGAGATAATCAATTACTCATCACTAAACTAAACCAGGCAAAAGCAGACACAGATATTGAATTATATCATCCCAGGTAATCAATAAAACATCATTAGATCATGTGTATCAGGTACTGGAATGACTTTACAATGCAACTAGTAAAGAAAGGTCAAAAATTAGAACTTTAGATTCAGTCAGCTTATACTAGCTTACAATTACCAATAACAGGATAAATAGACAATTCTATGCAAACAAATTTTTTTTATACAAAAATATGGCATAGTAAAACATAGTAAAACAGCTAAAATCTCAACTTTTACTAGATAGACAGAAATTGCTTTTAAAATGGAAACACACTAAAAATCTTACCAGAATTTACCATACAATAAAATCCTGAATCCAAAATAACTAAAGTAAAATCTCAAAATCATAAAAGAAATTCCAAAGCCATCTGTATCTAAACATTTAATAACAAGAAAGCACTTTTATTCTATTGCACTTAAGGTCGTCTGTATTTCACCGTTTTCTAGTTCTTGTGAAATATGCTATTATTCATAATGGAATCATTACTATTACAAAATACCATGACATTCATGAATGAATATGCTGGCATTTCGATGATTTCTGACATTGTACGCCTAAATGTCAAGATTTTCCGTTTCTAGCATGATTCAAGTAATACCTCCCCCCACCACCACCATGCAGTACCAATTGATTTTTTCAAGCATTTATCCATTCATGTCTTTTCATAGCTTTATCATGGTATAAATGTGGTGGTGCTTTTTTCTTTTTAAACAAGATAAATTATTTCATAATACCAACAGAACAACTTATTTCATACTATGTACACTAGAGATTAAAAGAACACCACCTACATTTAACAAATCAATGTTGTTTTTTGAAACACCGTTAACCAGTTTAAACCAATCACACATCAACAAGTAGTATTCTCAGATCTCCATTGTAAACCCACACATTTTCATTGAGAAATTATCAACGTAACTCTAGTCACCTGACAGCCTTGCGATATTGATAGTTTTCCCCGCCCACACATTGATCTGTGTGTGATTGCCTTCCAATACCTGCTTACTTATCGGTCTGTGTGGCATAAGGCCATATCACATTCCAGAAAATTGTTGGAAAGAGAAAAATCATGGCTATCATAAAGCCTGCTTACGCCTTAAATAAGGCCAACTATATTAAACCTTGTGTTTCTTGTACTTCAAACCTCAAAGGCCAAATACTACCTGATATCTGACCAAAAAAATATGACAAAAAAAAGTCTACTGGACGAAGCAAATTAGAAATTATTATAATTCATTTTTACATTCAGAAATCTAGTTGAACATGAAACTCTTTAATTCCTCAATTTGATGACACTAAACTATATCAATCCATCAGAATTTTAAATTACTAGTTTCTTCACCCATTTTAACACCTGTACCGAAAGCAAGAAGAGGGCAAAGGTTTAAACATACAAATTATTGTCAAACACCACAATAAATATTGAAATGACTATATCCAATTTCAGCAAGGCGTTCTAGAAGAATTCAATTTCGTAACATAGCATTGTTATCAAATGAAATAAAGTTATCTATTTCTGAGGTCACGACTTTATTGATTAGGTTCCTTAATTTTCTTTGTTTATACTGACTCGAAGCAATTTATTGTTTTCTATCAAAATTCTTATGAAGCAGTCTTGATGAAATTTCATGAAAACTTACATTTGTTACAATAACTGCTAAAAAGCAAGAAAAATATGAAATTGCTGGATTCTTGAAATGCCATTTTGACATCACTCAAACATTGCTAAAGTATGCAGAATGAATCTGCCCTGCATTGAACACTCAATTTAAAGATTAAGGGCTACCAACATTATAGAGTCAGGTAAGACTGGACGAATTGCCAGCCTGGCCCTATACTGTCACCATTAAGACTCATCCCTCTTAACCATGTGTGACCTCCAAACAAGAAACCTACAAACAAATATCTAAGATATAATCATCCATAAATTAAAGTCTATATCAGAAATAAACTATGACAAGCATTTTTTGACTAGCTTAAATTTTTTTAATATTTTCAACTTTACAACAGATATGTTTGTTTACAAATTGCAACAAAGTAAATAAGACTGAAACTTTTTCTATGAAAAAAATGTATTATATAGGGATGTAGAATAAAACTCCATGTTAACTGTAACTAAATTCTCCTAGAAACTAAAATGTCTTCCATGTATAACAACCGTTCATTTGTTAAAGAAGAAACCTCTCGTCAGAACATGTTCTGATTTTATTTAATCAAACAGACCTACTGGCTATGCTCTGAAAAAAATGCTGAATAAGCCCGTTTAGATAGCGCTACCGAAAAACAAGACATAATTCTAAAGAATAAAAGAAATTTGCATAAATCTTTCTTCGTTTCCTTTTTTTTATTTTCTTGGATATGTGACTCCATCAATAAAATTGAGCTACAAGTCTGTAATTTAGATCAATTCTTCATGTAATATGATAGTTGCTATAAATATCTTAGGAAAGCATTCTCTGTCAAAAATGTTTCAATAATACATCCTTAATGAGATAAAATAATAATAAATACACTTGTGAAAAAATGTTCAGCCATTTTATTAAAGAATCTATTTCATTCCAACTAGGGTAATTACTGTTTAAAATTCAATTAAAAAGGCTACAGGTTTTATTTAAGTCAGTCTTTAACTTGAGAAAAATATCACATGTCTCTAGCTATTGTATTTTAACTGAAAACTTCAATTTCTACCCATTCTACTATTTCATACTAGCTTTTTAAATTAACCCTAAATATCTCAAATGGACAAGTTCACCTTTCAATCGGGACAAAATCATTTGTCATTTTCAGCAAAATTTTCTAAATAACTAGTGACTGAATAGCAAACATTGAGGACCATGATAAGTTGACAAGGATGTGCTAACTGATCCGGGTCTGCAATGGTCATATTGGTATAATCTGCCCCCAGCAGTCTATGGTTAAACAAGCTTTCCACTACACACAATGCAAGCTTGCCATCAGTTCATGTCAAGTATTTAGCAAAGTCTATAATTATCAATTTATACCAAATATATATACCAAGTGGTTTATATATTGCAAGTGGTAGCATGGCCAAGTGATAGACTAGTAACTTTTGATCGCTAGCCGTGTGGGTTTAAACCCTGTCAAGGGCAAATACAGTCATTGCCCAGTACTGGTGGGTTCCAGGAGAGGCTTCAATAGTGTCTATAAGCAGGTTCCTACCCAATGAAAAAAGTTCAGTATAAATGAAACAACATGCAAAAATATATAAAGTTTGCTCAGTTTACAATCATTCAAATAAATACCAAGTGTATGCATTTAGCAATTACTCAAATATATACCAAGTTAATATGCTCAGTTTACAATCATTCAAATAAATACCAAGTGTATGCATTTAGCAATTACTCAAATATATACCAAGTTAATATGCTCAGTTTACAATCATTCAAATAAATACCAAATACCAAGTGTACTACTCAAATATATACCAAGTTTGCTCAGTTTACAATCATTCAAATAAATACCAAGTGTATTACTCAAATATAGTTTGCAATCATTCAAATAAATACCAAGTTTGGGTATTCAGCAATTACTAAAATATATACCAAGTTAAGCATTTTGCAATGATCCAAATATATACCAAGTTTGCAATCATTCAGATATATAAGTTTATATGCAGTTTGCAATTATCTAAATATATAGCAATACTACACATTTTGCAAATCATCCTAATATATACCAAGTTAACATAAATATGTATCAACCTTCCAAGTTTGCTTCAATTTAATGAACATCAATCT